TGCACATTGTGTTTGAGACCCAAGTCCTGGCTCACACTAATCTCTGGCTCCATCTCAGGGTTTGCCACACCAGCACATGAGAATGTTTTTAGAGGCCAATTCTTCAGCACTTGTCTTTGACAGTTTATCCCAGGGGATAGATAATCTCATTTACGTCTGTTACTACAAATCAAAACACCAGCAAATTAAATGGCTCTGAAGGCTACGATTAAAGACTCTGAATGAAACACCTGTGAAGTGCCTGTAATGCAAATACTTGTAAATACCATTTCTTTTCCGGGGGATGGAAAAGCCCTTCCCAGATGCTGTTCCCTTTAGCTCAAAAGCAAAGGCAGAAAACATCATGGATTATATACATGGGCTTTATGTGATGACAGTTCTGTGGTTAGAAAAGGATTGAAGAGGGAATGAGCATGAACATCACCCTTTACCAAGGCCTCTTTATGGCCTTCTTATGGTGACGGAGCTTTTGGCTGCCTCAGAACTAGAACAACACAGGAATTGAGCGGAGGAAGCCAAGGGCACTGCCAGTTCCTAGGCTGTGGTCACAGGGATGTGCCCTGGCTCCACCACTGCTCCTCCACCAGCTTCTTCTCCATCAGGCACCTGAGGTGTCACACGTGTACCCTTGTGCTTGGATGGAAAAGCCCACTTGGCCTTGCAGCAGATGGTGCAGCAAATACCATAGAACTCCCACGTGGATTTTGCAGGATCAGGCATTGAACAAGCAAATGGGAATTGGATTGATGGGAAAGTCATTTTAGAAATTTCATTTTAGATGTTCCCCATTCCCCAAAAATGAGCTGCAAAGCCCATGGTATTTGTTCCTGCTTTCATCATTTCATAACCACAGAATCCTAGAGTGATTTGGGAAGAACTTCTGCCTAAGAGCTCATCTCAATCTCCCCCCTGGCAGGTTAAAGCCATTCCCCCTTGTCCTGTTCCTACAGGCCTTTGTCCAAAGCCCCTCTCCAGGTTTCATCCTCTCTGGGGTGCAGCAGGAGTGTGGTGGAGCAGGACTCTACCGCAGGTGCTGCTTCAACAGGGGACTATTACCCAAGTACCAGCCGCCCAATAGAGCCAAGTACTAAATGTTCTAGCAAAGCACAGCCAGCAGATAGCAGCATTGGTATATATAATATACCCTGGACTATTTCTGCTGCTGTTTCAAAGCCATGAAAGCACCTTAGTGCGTTTAAGCATGAGGCCATGACTTACTCTGTCTCTGTGGTGGGTTCACTGGGCACCAGCTCCCACTCAGCCTGTAAGAAGTAAATCCTTACCTGGTGTAATTAAAGAGAATAGTAGTTCTGTTGCCTCTAACAGTTCGGGACAACAATGGTGGTGGAGAGCACCAGGAGAGTTCATCTCTTTCTGAGGGTCCCCAAGTCATCCTCAGATGGGCATCTTGCTGTCTGTGCAAGACCCATCCTGCTGCTGAGGGATGCTGGGCATTGGGGCAGCTCTTCCCAGCAAGAAATCAATGCAAAGGAAATGAACAACCAGAAACTAAGGAGCTATTTTCTCTGACCTAGGACATGCTGTTTTGCTGTGAAGTGTTTGAATGTTGCAGGGCAGAAGTTTTCTCACCTGTGAGGGCTGTTTCATTATGAAAGGGATGGAAGATCCACTGAGCGACATTGTTAATAAAACTTAATAAAACTGTTTGTGCTGATAAATTTGATTGGTTTCAGCCTTGCACAGAGCAAAACACCTTCAACTCACAGGAGCATTTTATGGCAGCTCAGTGAGGAATGTATTCCTTCATTGCTGAAAAAGCCTTTGATTTCAACCTGCAGAATGATATGGGGCTGCCTGGATGGAAGTCAGAGCTCCTGCTTCTGTTTCAGGCTGGGACATGGGTATGTCATTTAATAGCCATGTCACATTTCTATTTCTATTATTTATATTAGTTACACTATTTCTATTATTTATACTTAAATTTATATTTAACATGTATGTACTGTATATGTACATGCATATGTATCTGTATATATATTGCATTTGTATTTATATATGGATTGTATTTGTATATTTATATATATTGAATATGTATTTGTATATGTCTATGTATATGTATGGGTATAGGTATATGTATTAATTATATCTGTATCTATATATGGTTTTGAATATATATTGTATTTGTATATGTATTTGCCACCATTCTTCCCCAAAGGATGCTTTCATGCAGAGCATTTCACACTGATTTAAGAGTCCCCACCAGCTAAACTCTATATACACTGTATACAAGCAGACCATGAGATCATGAACCAGGCAAGAGCACTTGCATCAACCTTGAATCATGTATAGAAAAGCAGGTTGCTGTTGGAAGCTGAGATGGATTTAACTTCCCAAAAGCCCCCCAGAAGCAGCTACAAGCATGGGATGGAGAGGAGGAGGCTGCCTGGCAGACGGTGGGGCCGCAAGGAAGGAATGCAAGGGGTTTGATAAGGAAGGAATAATAATACCCCTTTTTGCTGAGCCTGCCTGTGTTTACACACAGGCAAAAAACTTCCTGAGCTGGAAGCGCAGCCTTTTCCTCTGGCTCGGCTCTGTCCCTGCTCGGCCACCTCTACTCAAAGCATTTCCCTCAATCTGGATGCTTTAGAGAAGCCTTTTGGCTTGCCAAAGCACTTGACTGTAACTTCATTGTCTGGTCTTGGCTGTAGGACATACCCTGAGCTGTGAAAAACGCACCTGACGTTTGATTAGATCTCCCACTATTGATGTAGTGAGTAGTGCTGAGTAGATAAACAGCTGCCAAGAAAGAAAAGCCAATCCCTGCACCCTGTCCAACCCTATGGTGCAAATCCAGCCCCTGGGAATGCTGCTCCAGGGCTCTCCAGATAGAGAGAAAGAAAGGAATTGCATTTCCCTGCATCTGTTCCCTTTGCAGCCAATCTGTTGGAGGTCACATTACCCCGAATTACCACAAAACAGGCGGTGATGGTGAGGACCTGGCACAGGGTGCCCAGAGAAGCTGTGGCTGCCCCATCCCTGGCAGTGTTCAAGGGCAAGTTGGAGCAACCTGGTCTACTGGAATGTGTCCCTGCCCATTGGAACTGGACAAGCTTTAAGGTCCTTTCCAGCCCAAACCATTCTAGGGTTCTATGATTCTATGATTTTCATATGCACACACCCCCCTCCACTGTCAGGTCAGAACCCAGCCTTACAGATCACTCCATAAAACTGGACCAGGAATTATCTGGGCCTCTTAAACATCAGAAAATCCAACAAACGAGGTGTTACAGTTTGTCGTACGTCACTTCTCCTGCAAACATGTTTGTTGAAAGACAGGGAAAATGTGCACAGGACAAGCCACAGCCTTTAGTCATAGTATTTCTGCTGGGAAACAACCTCTCTGCAAGGCGTTGGCCTCTCATCACACTGACACAGCCAGAGCCACGCAGCCCAGTGGGATAAACATGCTGTTATTCCAAGGACACAATGGAGAAACTGCATTTTAATAGTCAACTTTTTATTTTTCAACTGGGATTTATTTACAATGAGATTTGGGAGGATCAAGTCACACCAAACCAAACCAAACCTGAACTACTCTAAACTGTGTTTAAATGACTCTTGCACCCATGAAAACACCCCCAGGTAATGATGGACATTGCTGTCATTCCTTTAAGCACTGTACCAAAAACAAAGCCTTCCCCTCAGGTGTTGAGCGCTGAGAAAAGATTGTGATAAATTCACTAGTGAGGGGATAGATCAGCTTCAAGGGCTGGTTTTGTCCTTATTTCGGATGTGGAGGTGCCAGCAGGGGTTGTGGTCTGCCCAGCATATGCTGAGCTTCAGCCTCTCGTGGTCTTGCACCATCAAGTCCAGGCTTGTGCCACACCAACTTTGGCTCCTTAAGTATGAGCTGCATTTGCTTGGGCTGAGCACAAACCTGTGCCTGGTCCTTGGCTCTCACTGAGCTGTGCAGAGCTCAACCTCAGTCATGCAGCTTGGGCAGTGCAGAGCTGGGGAGGAGCTGCTCCTGCTGTTGGGGTTTTGGTGTTGGTCTCCACTTACTATAGGAAAAAAATCCCACTTTTTGTTCGTGTACCTGCTGCTGATGCAGAGGGAGAAACACCCGGAGCAGAGCCAGGTCTCTGTCTAATACTGATCCCACTGGGAGCCCCTTTGGCATCATTTATTCCCAAAGACAAGCCCCCATGTGCCGGGAGGGAGGGTGGTGGGACATCCAGCCCCAGGCATCTGCAGAGCCACATACAGCCATGTGAGGTGTTCTCCATCTCATTGCTCGCTGGCTCTGCCTCGTCAAACTGCCGTCTCCAGTCCCTGACATGAAGAGACTGGGGGAGATCTTTACTCTAAAACAACTACCTGCATACTGGTAGGGTTGAATAAGAAACAAGTTTGAGGTCTATTCACATTTCAGCCTTCAAATCCATGTGGAAAGTTTTACACACAGCTTCAGCAAATTCTGCTGGAGTAGGAAATACTAAAGGAGACCTAAAGCACAAGAAGGGGGATTAAATGCCTGATGTTCTTAAAAGAAAGGAAGAAATCCTGCACTTAAACATAAAGACAAGATTAAAACCAACTCTGATGATAACCAAAATCATCTGAAACCTGGAAGGTTTTTGTCACTGAAATCCCAGTTTAACTATTTTAATCAGCCTAACACACTGCCACTGTTGTTTCGAGTCTGGTTCAAAGCTTCTGTACCTTGAGTCTGCCTCTGCTTAAAAGCTTCCAGAGCAAAGGGCACTTGCATTTCTCATGTTATTCTAACACCAAAAGCAGACAAACAGCTGCAAGAAAGTGTCTTGTGTGGTCAGTGGGAGAAGGAGGAGAAGGCAGAGCAGCAGGTCTTTGGCGCTTCATGTGCTTTAGGCTGATTTGGAAGTTCTTCACAGGAATAATAATAGTAACAAGAAATGGTCTGCAATTCCCTAACTGTCCGTAGAAAACTCCTGCCCTCCCCTGTCTCTCCGCTCCCCTCTATTGGTTCACACTAAGGATGGATGCACCTTCAGCCTGGTTCACATTTCGGTGTCAGCGGGGCTCTGCTGCCGGCCCGAGTGGCCGTTCTTGGAAGATGCTTGGCCAGTCCCATTCTCCTGAGTCCCACCGTTGAGGTTTGGCTTCTCCTGCAGCTCCGGTTGCTCTTGGGGAGGGATCATCAACATTGTGTTTCCCTGGCTACCATTTTCCGTGTAATACGGGTCTTCAGCCTAAACAGGTACATAAATAACAAAGAGTTAAGGGAGGGAAAGGGCTGACAGTGACTAGCTTTGATTGCAGGCAGCGGCTTGGGTGGCGCCGCCTTGTTTGCGGCCGGCGGCTTGCCGGCCGCCGCTTCCTGGACAGGAGATACAAATAACTGCAGGCATGGGAACCTGCTCTGGCTGATGAGGAGGGGAACAGAGGGCCTGAACTATGGCAAGACGAAGCAAGAGAAACAGCCAGGAGCTGTGTTTTATTTTTCTCCTGGACCTGAAAAGAGAAGCTGTCAGATTTTGAGTTTTTTTCTTATATCCAGGTTTTGGAGCTGACCCTGCCTTGGGTTTGCAATCCAAACCCTTCTATGATTCCATAACAGACCACCTCTGTTTTCCATTCCAGCTAAGTAAGAAGCACCATGGAATGAAAGCTATGGAAATTGCCTCTTTATCTTTCCCCGTCCTTTCTCCCAGCCTGTAAATACACCTACAGCTCGCAGCAAGGTGCCAGCAGAAGTGCAGGGTTGCACTCCAGCAAATGCAAAGGTGTGCTGTGTGGCTTGTTACTACTGTTGCTGTAAGGAGCAGATGTCTCTGGAGGATGCAGAGCAATAGCCTCCATCCCCACCATGATATCTCCCATGTGTTGCACCGTGGCAGGCCTGATAGCAGTGTAATGGGCCCTAGTGGTCCCAGGCTAGTAGCAGGTAGCCCCACTCCTTGTTTGCTTGGTGGCATTCACCTGCACAGCAGGCTGCAGAGCTTTCTCTTTCTGCTCAGCCCCTTTGTTGACACCCTTGTCCATGGCAGTGAGATGGGTGTGCTGGACATATCTCACCTAGAAACTGGTCTGATCCTCCCATGCATTTCCATGGGCAGGTCCCAGCCACAGATTTACATTGCCTATCACTTGCTGCCAGCATCCAGGAGATGGTACCCAAGCTTGAGAGCCCAAGCTGTGCTGTGCCTGCCTCTGACACACGCACTTGACTTCGTATCTGCATGTTGTGAGGGCATCCTTTCTGGCAATGAAATAACCTAATGGCTTCTCAGGATACAGCTCTCCACGTGCCCTCAAGCAGCAATGAGGGGAAAGCATGTCCTGTCCTCACTTTACAAAGGGATTACATCCCAAAAGTCTGGAAGAGTCCTCAGCCTGCCTGGAAAGGGGAAAACAGAAATAGGAAATTTCTGCCTCTTTCTTTCTTGATATATTTTATTACCATTGCTTGTTAAGTGAGGGGGAGAAATAGCCTTTATTACAGCATCGGTACAAGACAGACAGATAACTCAAATGCAGCGAATGGAAAGTTAAAGTGTGTCACTTTTAATGACAAATTCATAAGGTTTTGGTGTCTCTGGAAGGGTCTTGCTGGATGAATTCTTACTGCTGAGCAAAAATAAGTGTTAGACCTAGAAGTATGAGTGAAAAGGGACCGTTTCCCCACAGGAGCAACCAGCTAAGAGTTAAGTTTTGAAGGCAAGAGAGGTTTCCCTTCACCCTATCTGGTCTGTTCCTTGCCCAGGAAGGACCTGGGGACACACATGCAGGTTGTCGGTGCTGAGCCCCCTCCTCTCCCACCCGGGCACCCCATGGCTCATCTCTACCTGCTGCTCTGCCACCTATAAGCACTGACCAGCCTCTCTCCCGCAGGGCTCCAGCTCCGCCGCTTCATCAGGAAGTATCCAGCCAAGCCAAGGAAGGCCAGCATGAGTCCAGATGTGACCAAGGCAATCAGGGTCTTCTGAGAAAAGTCCTGGTGGTTCCTCACGCTCCCCCGTTTGAGGGATTTTATTCCAAACTGGAAAACATAAAACACCAAAGAGAGCTGGGAGTCCGACAAACAGGAAACATGTGCGGAACAGGCACCGGGCTTCAAACAATGCTGCTCTTCACCTCCTTATTAAACATCATGTAAACAAAGCTGGGCTTTGCTGCCCAATGTTCTCCCTTGGACCAGAGTGTTCAGGCCCTGAGATTTAGAGCATGCATCTGCTGCTGAAAGCATAGAATCACAGAGTGGTTTGGCTTGGAAGGGAGCTTAAAGCTCATCCAGTTTCTGCCATGGGCAAGGACACCTTGCACTAGACCAAGTTGCTCCAAGCGCCATCCAGCCTGGCCTTGAACATTGCCAGGGACAAACACTTCCAGTGCAAACACTTCTGCTGTGCACTGCTGTTGCAGGTCTGTTGGCTGCCGTTTACACAGACACCTGGAGCTCAGCTTTCAAGCCAATGGCAGCCTCACTGGAGTGATGAGAGGAGAAACTGATTAATGCCAGGGTAGTACTTTGAAGCAGCAAAGTGCCAATTACATCCTCAGTTATAGCTGGGATCCAACCATCTCATGGGCCAACACTCAACAAGCACCTTCTAGATGGAGGCAAGGTCACGTCTTAACTGACCATCTAAAAATCTCCTTTCTCCAGCCTCTCGGGCCACCCTTTTTTTTTCTCAGCAGAATTTGCTTAAGGAATTTACCTTTTCCCAGTGAGACTCCTGGAGCATATCTGTAGCAGGATCTGCAAGGTTTAAAACAGGAGATGCACATTACATAGAGGGTCATGCTGCAGCTAAAGTCAGCATTGAGGAGCCTAGTCATTGCGGAACATGGAGGAGCTGCTCTTGAGGCAACACCAAAGCTCTGTGTATCCAGAAGACCCCAGAAGAAAGAGCAGTTGCAGAGAGAAGCCTCCTTCCAGATTGTGCCCCAAAGCCTCTCCCACTGCCCACATAAAGGCCATCATCAGTGACAGTCAAAGGCATCAGCCGAACTGACCTCTCTCGCCAACGAGGATGAGGAGCATACAGTCATGGTCCACCTCGGACTGAGCGAGCTGGATCTGGCAGGGGGAAGGGACGCGATGGGCACTCTCCTCACATATTGCACTCCACAAGTCTGATCCCTTCATCTCTAGGAAGTGTTTCTGCAAGAGTTGTAAGAAAACCAGCCATTGAATCAACGAAATGGACCAGCTCTCCATCACCACTCTGCTGGTGCTATGGGAGTGTTGTGCATTCACCCTTTGTGTTTTGGTGGCTTCTCTGTGCTGTGCAAAGCTGAGCAAGAAGCAACCAGGAGTGACAACCAGCGCTGGGCTGGAGGTCAGACCTTCACCTCCCCACTTCCCCACTGCTTCAAGCCCCAGTCCCAACACCTAGGAAACGGAGATGCTAATTTCTTGTTTCTTAACTTAATGAGAAGAAATGAAATGAAGATATCAATAGCAGCTCTTGCAAATGGCATTTAAGCAAAGCTAAATTTAGGATGTGAATTGCATGGCAAGTCTCTCCACTTTTTGGACTCAAACAGCCGCCTGAAGAGCCCCATTGTTTCAGAGTCCCAGGCAGGGGCTGGGAAAGGAGGGAAATAACAAAGAAGCATTGAGCCTTCCTGTTTAGGAAATGTCTTCAATGTTTTTGCTAGGTTGCTGATCAAAGGCTAGGCAAAAATAATACCAATTTCTCACATTTTAGAGCTGAACTGACTCTCAGGTGGAAGAGGAAGAGGAGTGAGGAGCTGCAGCCTTCTTCTGCGGGCCAATTTCTGTAGCAGACAGGATAGGCTTTCTCCTTGTGGCTATTTTCAGACACAGCCAGGCTTGGGTACAGAGCCCACAGCTGCTAAAAGACCTTCTCAGCTTCCCCAACATCCTCCCACCTGGGGACATCATGAGCTGTGGCTGTTCCCCTCCCTTGAGACAGAGACCAGCTCTCACTAAATCGCTGTCCCTGCCTTCAGGAAGCTCAGTGTTTTCCTCTTTCTACCTAAGCACTGCCTCAGCCTTGTTCTGGGATCACCTCATCCTCTTAGCGTAGAGAAATGCAGGAACTTATCCATGGGAGAATAACAAACAAATCATTTTCAGCTGTTTCTATCGAGCTTGGCTTGGGGTGAGAAAGGCCAAGATGGAACAAGAGACCCAAGTGTGTATTTTCCTTTCTCTGCTGTGGAAAGAACTCATCGGAGTGTCAGAATTTCCCCTTGCAATTAGCAGTGCTGGGAGCCAGCTCATTGCTCATTTGCTTTGGGAAAGGCCAAGCAGGAAAGCGAGACACGGTCCCTCCTATCTGCTCCCCTCACAGACGCTCTTATCTGGTTCCCAGGTTCAGTGCCTGCTGAGCCTGAGCTGGATTTTCCCACTCCATGAGGTGGAGGCACGAGAAAGGTCTGTTCTGGGGTGAAAGCTCCCATAAAAACATGCCTGGAAGTGGGGCAGTTGGACTCTTTTCACACAGAGGGAAGTATATGCAATTAGACACGACTCTATAGGATACTCTGTATGCCACAGGTGCATCCACCTGTGTCTGTGCAGGCATACAATGTGTGGACAAGGGGTGCAGCCCCTGTGCCCAAGTGTCCTTTCCCACTAGATGGCATCTGTGACCAGAACCACTTGCTCCCGGAGGAGTTTCCATGTGAATTGTTGCTAAAATACAGTCCCTGTAAACAGGAGCAAGTCTAAATGCCATATGGAGAGCAAAGCCAAGCAAGAATTCACTCCCTCTAAGTGGCTGCAGTATAGCTAAGCAGCACTGCTGTGCCACAAGATCCAGCACCTATCTCACAGGTTGTATCTCCAATGTGGAAGGTTTCTTGCCTCCCACCCACACCAGGGTCACGGCCAGACCCTCTCCTGCTTTTATAAATGCTTCATTTTTGGTGCACAAGGCCAAGGGCAGCAGAAAACCTGGGATTCCCTTAGGACTCTGTGCAGATGGAGCCACTGATCAGTCACTGGTGCTCCTTCAGATGCCCTGATTCCTTTCCTAGGGCAGTTGGCAAGACAAAAAAAGGCACTCGCATTCCCAACAGGGAAGAGGAAGGAGAAGAACAAAGGCAATTTCCCGTTCAACATGGTGGGAGGTACTTTAAAAGCTAAACTGACCCCAGAGCTTAATCATGAAAAGGGAGGTTTTATGCAACCAGGAGGATGCATTTACCCTGGGACTGCTGGGATCATCCCCACCTCCATCAGTTTGGCACAGCTCAGATTCTCTGCCCTAGGGATAACAGCGTGAGCTCCTCACCCCCAACCACCCCCCCGGGAATGGTGAGTGACCCCATCACTGCAAGGCTAAGAATGTCTGCTTGCAGACCCCCCTGCCTTGGAGCTGTGTGTCCACCCAGAACTGCAACTCACGCAAGTGTTGGACTCGTTGAGCTGCAAGCAGATGGCTCCAGTGTCACTCACTTCTTTGACATTGTGGCATGAGATGGGCTGGAAGGGAAAAAACACAGTGGTTGTATCAGTGACCTGTTGTGAGGTAAGTCCAGCCTCCTCATGGTCCCACAGCCCCATCCTCACCTTCAGGCTGTCCCTGGCTGTGTGCAGTGGCGTGGTGGCAGTCTCGACGGGAGGATGCCCCAAGATGGTGGCAGAAGAGCTCATCAGAGCCGGCACAGAGCTTGGGGTTTCTGCCATCGTGCTGGGTTGTGTTGCTGAGCTCTCAGATGTGGGGACTCCTTGGCTGGTGTGGTTTGGGTCTGAGGGGGTGCCCAGTGCCTGTGCATGGGCTTGGCTGGGCTGGGGGCTCGGCTGCTCACTGCTGGGCCCCTGGGATGTGGGGCTGGCTGTCGGCAACCTGGCAGCAGCTTCAGTTGTGAAGAAATGTAATAAAAAGGAGACACGAGAAAGCTTAAGTCCTCTAAAATCAGTGCGTGGCATTGCGATGACTCAAGTACAATATTGATTTGTCATAGCCAGCACTACCAGAACATGTTATTGGCTGTGTAAGAAAAGTGCATTAGACTTGCTTCAGTTACCTAATTGTTACAAGCACTTCATAATCTGTTTACAATGGGCTCATTTCCTGGGCATACACTGCACCATAGCAAGGATGCCATGGCCTGCCCTACCCTGCATCACCCTTGTTTCCTCCTTCACCCAGAGCTGTCAGAAAGATGTTAATGACTTCAAACAGTGGGAGAGAAGGGCACCACACAACTCTGCAAGGATTCCTGCTCCAAAACCCTTCAGATCCCAACCCTGGCCTTGTACTGGAAAGGCTGGCAGAGCTCTTACGGGTGCCATTTGCTGAGCAAATAATAGGTATATTGAGATAAAATATTAATGAGCATTTTGTCCCATTATCTCTTGGCTGTTTTGAAAAGAATGTGTCCAATCCACCCGTCCTGAAGACAGCAGTGCTGGGTTGTCCCCAGTGGGATTTTTGGGGCCAGGATTAAAGCTTTTTGGCCATACTATCAGGCTGCTTTACAAGACCAAAACCCCTGCACCAACGCCACAGTTCCTTAGGGCAAACCCATGCACCTCATAAACCTGATTATCAATGCAAATACCCCAGGAATCACTGGAGGGGAGCAAAGGGAGTGATTACCAGATGTCTGTGGTGTGGGCTCAGCGCTGCTGGTGGCTGCAGGGACTCCGGTGGCTGCTGCTCTGCTGGTGCCTTGCGATGCTGCGGCCGTCAGTGTGGGGTTGTCTGTTGAGTTCCCACAAGCATTACCTGGGGGCAGAGGAAGGTGTTAGAGGCTGG